GACACTGAGCCACTCGGTGCTCAGAGGTCATTTACATTGATCTCGTTTGCGGAGGACCCTTCACTCATGTCGGGTCCCTTTCTGTTAACCTGTCCGGGCACTCTAGATAACATAGGGGCATTGATTCACGCATCGCCCTTTTTGGGTAACTCCGGTTTGCTCAGAGTGCCCCGCGCTCCGGTCGGGGCCTTATATGTCAGCCTGCCGGATACTCCCGATCATTCAGGGGCCTATCACGTTGATCTTGAGTTCTTCTCGCTTGCTCTGAGGACCCCTTGCGTATTGACGGAAGCCTCTTTGTTGGCCTGCCATGGCACCCGCGGTTGCTCAGCTTTCGTCCCTATTGGCCTTGGTGCCTTAGCCTTAGAGCAGTCGTCGGGTACGCACCGATGTGTCTTTACGAAAAAGTGTCGAACATAATTTTACGCGACCCCGACGTCGTATGTGCCATTCCTGTTGGTCATTAAATCTATGACAGCTATTATACTTGTGCACCAGGTTCTTAATGCACTTTACATGCTAGCAAATTTTCTATTTGTTCATAACAAACAGAATACAAACCCTACATTAGTTTCAGTCATCAACTGATGACATCGACCGGCTGTAAATAAGCTAGGAATCAAGTTCGTGCTTGTTCTAATGGCATTTAGCAGCCAACTCACTTTATTCTGCCATGATTATCCGCAAAAACCTAAGCTTCAAAATGACAGGACTCTTCATGATCTGGAGAAAGTAAACAAGCTCCATGTATGTGCATACGCAGCACGCTTTTTATGTGCACACGCAGCACGCAGCACAGAAAGATGGGTAAAGGTAAAAATTGCTTACTAAGAAACTTGCAACCTAATGGCCATAGTGCAAGGATTTTGGGCGCCTTTACTCTGGGGCCCACGCAATGTTGCGTGCCCCCCATTGACGAAGTTATGGATCCACCCTGGCCAGGCGTCAGCAAGCGTGGTTGCCGAAGCTGCCTACAGGCGATTTTTGTGGCGATATGACGAAATAGCTACCAACTTATTGTGGACTGAGGGCAGGCACCACGGCAATCGAGCCCTGAACCAAGGGAAGAGGATTCGATTTCCCGCAGTCTTCGCCCTTCCTACAAGGGTGAGAGGCCAGAGACGCCATGTAGCATCAACAGCTAAATGCGTCGTAAAGCCCCAATAAATAACAAATACAGTGGCGGATCCGGGATTTACCCAAGGGGGTGGCCACCCAACATTATGGGCGCTCTGAAGTTGGCCCTTTCCATAAAGTCCTCTAAACACTGGAGTGGAAGGGAGGGAATTCTGTGCCGGGATGCGTGCGCTGCACTGCTGCCGCTGGTCGCTTGTGTCCGCCACCGGCTGCCGTCACCACGCGTCCCCACGAGAGCGAGTTCTTTCTGAGCAGCCCATTGGTCAGCACCGAGCCAGGTAATGTTACGCGTCCGACCCGGCCCGTAATGACTCCTGCACACCCGACACCAACACACGTGCACACCTAGGATGAAGCCTCGTACCTTGGATGAAGTGAGCGAGTAGCTTGTTGACGGGATGGAAGGTCCGCTCAGGCATGCACGGCTGTCTCCCCGTACATGGTTCTGTACCGTTGGCCATGGTGCTCCACCTCCACCGTCTGGCTGGCGACAATATCTAAACGGGACAAGAATAGAACCAGATGCATTGAGAACAGTTCAACGTCCCGAATTCTATGGCACCCACAAATTAGCAGGGATCTCACCCAACCGGCGAATTACATTGGCAACGACCCGCCGGATATTCACCCTGGGAGCCCCATTCGTCCTTAACTAATCAATACAGACTTAATGCATTCAGCGCCCCGCCACATCCACTCCAGGCATACACGTCTGCTGGCGCCCATGTCATGCCACTCAATAAGCGCGTCTGCGCGAGTCCTCGTTGAGCTTCACTGAAGTTCATTTAACGCGGCTGCAACATTCAGTGAAGCCACGTTTACGCCCTATTCCAATCATATCGGATCGCTTTGTTATCAGCTTGGCACCGGCGCGGCCTACTGGGCCGGCATCCGGGATACCGAAGTTGGACGACGGCTCGCTCCCTTACCTGACCTCCAGGGTAACGGTTCCCCACTTGGACGAGGCTCCCTCGCGTCTTGTCCGCGAAAGGGCGGCCTACCGCTTCCTCGGCCACGCCCACCGCTCGCAGCTTCCCACTGCTGATCGCTCGCTTTAGGCAGCGCCCCGTCCAGTACGGAGATGTCGCCTCCGGCGCTTCTGCGCCCTCGCATACCGCCCGCGTGAGTGACCTTGTGACCTTGGCGCGTGTTGACCCATGGTGGATGCCCCATGGTGCGTCCCCAAGAAGACTGGGGGTAGACGGCACACCTGATGGGACAGTAGAACTCATCGGCTGACAGCGAGCGACCGGCACGACCTGCGCTTACGACTTACGGCCTCTGCGGCCGATGCCCTCTGGAAACTCGGCCTGACCGGCCTGACCGGCGGCTTGCTCCCTTGTCGCTCCCCCTGCAAATGACGATGGCGGGATCTCTATCAGTATCGAGCGTCCCGCCACCAGGGGGTTTTAAGACCTGGCGTGCACCACGTTAGAAGAGAACGGGTTGTGTCGCGATCTCTCGCGAGGCGTCTAACACCAACGGCTGGACCCAGCTGCCGCCGCGCGTAACCCCGCATTCCGGGCGGTCCGAACTGGTCCTGGCCGTGGCATACGGCATGCGTCTCCCCGTGCCGTCACGCCTGAGGTCAAGTGAGGGACGAACAGAACTAGTCTACCGCCTCCCAGCCCAAAATACACCGTGCGTTCGAGTCACTGCTACTCATCAGACATTTATCTGCGTTAGGGCAGGACCGCGACCGCTTGCCTCCTTTTCAATCCTGATCATAGCCCAGCCGTACTGCTCGGGCGCGTTCCGCGCTCATCACTCTTCGCAGCCACTACCGTTGCTGCGCGACTCGTCCCTCGTTAATGTGGCAGCCGGATGCGAATCGACGAGGGGATCTGTCAATCCGGCTGTAGGTCTGCGAGCTGGATCAAACAACAACAACAAAAAAAAAACAAATGGAAAGGAGTGCATTGTAAGCAGAACCCGCGCACGTGAGCTGGATGGGGCCTAGCTGAGAGTTTCACTATTCCTAGACCATCGAGAACAGTTAAGGACACGAGAAACTGTCTAGCCGGAGAGCTGGCAAATAGACTAACGTTCTAGCCAAAGGCAACGGCCATGGATATGTGGAGGTGGCCCGTACGCTGCGCCCGGTCATGACGCATGACCGATGAAGGCCACAGTAAAAAGACCTGGATCCTTATAGCCGCCTCCAACGGCTAAACCAAGAAGCCTTGGCGTAGGCTAATGAATGAGCCGTCGCGCTGAAGCGATTTACCAGCTTTAGTCACCATGTCCAACCACGCCGGAAACGAGTGCTCTGTCGCCACCCGATGAAACACATCCAACCGCGCTTCGACGCTACAGACTTACAACGCAGCCCATCACCTGCATTTACAGTCATTCACACATAGTCACATATCAGCCCACTGGTCGGACCTTCGCTCTTAGTCCTCACAAGTCCTTACTTATCGCCCCCCCCCTCCCATCCTTAATTATGAGGTCACACCTCTCGCCCCGAGACCCGGTGCCAGGCCTCTGAGGGTCACAGGGCCCATGGCCCGTGCCCCTTTCCCAATTGCAAAGAAGAGAAGAGGTTGTTGCGGCCCACGCTCGCCCGGTGGGGAGTGGTCGAGGGACATCTTGGCAGCGTGCAGCCGTCCATGATCCGGTTGGGATGGCGGATGACAGCCTGCGCACGGCCTCACCTCGTGCGTGTTGTCGCCGGCGTCCCGTCACCCGCGGACCCAGACCGTCGCCAGATGATCAGCACCGGGACCGTCGAGTTCTCTGTGCACTGCTGTCGGATCCTGACGCACGGTACTCTATCCCTTCTGCCTCGGAGACCTTCTCCTGAGAGTCTTTACGCAGAGACCTTGCATCATGTTTTACCTCTTCGCAATCTTTCGAAACCGGGTCAGCCCACCTCGTTTCTACCTGATCGAACAGCTTGGCCGGAATGTTCTCTTCGCCCAATAGGTTGCCGGCCGGGGTGCCCTACTTTCAGGGCACGGCCTCCGACGTGTCCTGGGGCCAGAGCTCGGGTGTCGCATCGCCGGCAGCAGTGTAAGACCCGCGCGCCCTCTTCCTGCCTCACCTCGGATGGGCCTTGCGTATCCTCCTCTGGCCTAGTTCTCACGGGGCTTGGCGCTCCAGGTACGAGCTGGGGCGACAGCGGCACCGGCACGGTGGGGGTTTATCGGGTAGAACAGCAAACATCGTCAAAACATCTCGGGCAAACATTTCCGCGTGCATAAGGGAGCTTATTTCATCATATCTGATGATGACTTCATTATCTTCATATGCGGAGCATTCGCTTTAAATCAAAAACTGCTCTTTAAATGAAACAAAAGCTTCAATATGTGTTGCCTATCACCAAAACAAAGTGGGCTTAATCCGTTGAAAAGGTGGAAGGGAATAGATCGCCGGGGCTTCGGCCCAGCCTACCACTTATTTACAGGAACTGACACCCCGTGGGATTTCTTCGATTTCTTTCCGATCTCTGATTTCTTTCCCCGAGCCTGATTTATTTGTACAAGCTCTTGTCCTGAATTTTTGACGTCGAAATCTACCCACATGAATGCATACAATCATGGGATGAGGAGCACGGAGAGTGCGCCCCTCACCCAATGATTTTGTCTATCCCTGAATCAAAATCCGTGACGCCAACAGATAAGGAAAAATGGCATCAGGCATTAGGTCAGCGGGCAACGATACAAATTGATTACACGTTTCTAACTCATTTTTGGCAAAAATGGCGCCCCTGAGGCATTGCCGGAAATACTCCGACTGGTTTAGCCTTGGACTGGTTCTGAACCGACGTCGACCGAGGTTGGCGACCGATTCGGTGTGTGGTGTGGCGCGTGCGTTGCTTGACGGTTATTACGTAAGTGAGAGTGATAAGCGTATATTAATGCGCACGGTTTTGATATGTAGCATCAGTTCAGCTCCTTCGTCCTTGAAAAGCTGTGCTGTTTGGGGCTGCTACTGGATTATTCGCTGAAGAAGGTTTTGCTAAGCGTGTAAAGCCTGAAGGTAACATCGGAATAGGCCCCGCTTACACGGCCTGACCAATTAAATCTGATATGCAAGCCGTGCAGTATTGGCGTCAGTCAATCCATGAACTATTTACGAATGCCCGTCATTTACCCTTTGTCTTTTATAATGATAACTAATAATGTTTTCCCTCACACTTGTCACCAATTCCATAAACAGTTTCATCCACTGCCAGATGCCTTCTGGACAGCAGCACTCTGAACTTGAAGATTGCTGGAATGGACTTCAATGCCATATTATAGCTGAATTATCAATTCATCATCTGTGAAATGTTTCATTGTATTGTTGCATGTGATTACCTTTACAACATCATTGCTGGACTTTGTAGTTTGTAGTGACCATCTGCCAAACCAAGCTTTCATGTTTAATGGGTATGTGTCTTAAAATTTTAACCACCTTCTGTTATGTGGATATGAGTGATGTATGCAAGGCAATAGAAGCACTAAATAAAGCTGAGCTAAGGATCCAACATAGGCCCTGTAGTATTTGTTTGGCTAGCTGCTGTTGGCATTTTGGAATATGCAGCATGAGAAGTCCAAAGTAGGCTGTGTAAATTTAAAACATGTTAAATTCATTAATTTGCTTCCACAGAATGGGCACAGTACTTGACACTGTAAAATAATATGGAAATTACAGCACCTATGTCACTTGACTTTGACAGCAATTTTTCATTTACATTCATCCTTAGCTAGTTCCATTGTCCAACAGATGAATCTTAGATGAGGACTTGGAAATAAGGGGCCTTTGTAAAATTGTATTAAATTGTATTTTGAGGAAGCTGTATATGCTAGAATTTGTAAATAAAGTATTAATTTTGACAATACTGATGTAAGAAATGAGCTGCAAGCTGCTCTTGATATTTCAGTTAATCATATCAGCTGATATTACTTACATCTGGGCCATAGCTGCCCCTGGGTATCTCTGAAATGGAGGGCTAAATTAAATAGACCAAACTGAAGGAAACATGAATGAGGTTTTCAACTCAGCAAAGCCCAATCAAGTGAAATATTATGAACGGGATGGAAACCTATGACCCAAAACAAATGTTATCATATCATCATGGCAAATACACAGATGGCAAGGCATGCATTTAGTAAGAAAGTAAGCATCTACATTCTGCATATTCAAGACAGCATAAGGCCCGGCCTTAGGAGGGCATGTTCATCCTGAAAGTCATGTTTTGTCTGCCAGTGCTTCTGCTGCTACCCGTCAGCTGTACAAACAGTGTCCCCTGAGGATATGAAACTTGGCCTCTTGAAAAAGTTTTTGGGCCTAGCTTGTCAGATATTTTAGGAAGCCATCTTTTTCCATGCAACATATCTACGTCTCAGGTTTTCTCCACATTGTAACACAACATTTTTTTTTTGCCATTTTAGCTCCTGTTTGCTGATGAGCACAACTGCTGCAGGTTTGTGGTGCTAAAAGTCAGTTCATAGTGTAATGGTCAATGAAGTAATTGTAGATGTGGGGATATTTCAGATGTAGGTTTATTATGCCAGAAAACTATATTTTGGGATCAGAATTACATGCTCATTGGAGCAAGCAAACAAATAGAAACTTTTTGGAATGCAAGAACATTTTCAGGGGAAAATCTCAAATAAACACTTTTTATGGAAAATTGTGGATGGCAGGGACAGGTGCCGATATCATTCTGAGTGTTGCCTTACCAATCCAGAAAGTGGCAACCACCTACAGTGTTTTGCCGAAATGCCTTGCTTCTAAGGTTTCATATCACATGGCAATACAAAACTGGACAAGAACTTTGAAACTGTTGAAAACATGGTGACTGCTTCCTTTTCAGGTTGCTTGGTACTGAGATATGAACTTTGACCTGAAGTCTGAGGAGGATGTCAAGCAGTATATTGACAATTTAGGAATTGAATACCGTTTTGGATGCTACAATGAAAAGAAACCAGAAAGTAAGTATATGCTTACGTGCTATGTTTCCTGAAAACATTGGCTGCTCTTTGTTTTACCACATGTCATGAAGAATGCACTAAATGGTAAGGCTTAATTGCTGTTTTATGTATATTTTCCAAAATGTTGCATTTCAAAGTGCACTGGACAGCTCAAAGGCCATGGGTAAGATGGAATGGTAATGGAGGCATGCTGTCAAGTGATACCAACATTGTTCTGGCATGCTTTCTCTAGTAGAGCTCCTCAAATGGGATGTGTTTGGATGGAATATATATTCGACGCCCAAACTGATTATGTGAGAAAGGGGGAAACTGACATAAAAGATATAAACTAAAAAGTTGGAGCTTGGAGCTGAAACTAAAAAAATTATTTGTCACTGCTTTGATTGCATGTTGTAATTGTGGGCAAAACACAATCATCATTTTGTGGCCCTGATGGCCAGCTCTGCCACCAAAAGGACGAAATAGCTATGATATCACCTCCAGGTCCAAAAAACATGTCCTTACATGATAAGGCACGTAAGACGGCACCTAATAACACAAGCGCGTGCTTTTTCGTTTCTAGCGTTAGCACGTGGTTTGGAGTTTTAGTCGATGTATCCCTGTTTGCTTAGGCGCCGTGATAGTGCTCAAGAAAATACAAAGCTAGAGCAAAATACACCCCCATGCCGGTGCGCCAGCGCAGCATACAACACCGCCTCATGCTCATCTCGATCTAAATCGGTGGAAGACACCACCTACTACGCAAAAAAGTGAAACTGAATGTGCTGGAAGCTGTTGATATCTCTGACAAAGGTCCAGCAATTGGCTGAACACATACACAAACATACATATGCAAGCACGCACGTACGCACGCACGCACGCACGCACGCACGCACGCACTGCGCCGTGACGTCAATTCATTGAAAACGACGTTTTCGGTAGCTTTGCATTGTGGGTCTATTTTGGGCCCGACTTTCACTTATCTTTGTAATTTACTTACTCCCTTTTTAAAAGTAAGACCCAAATCTAGTCGGAAATTTGTTTTTAAGAAAACAATATGCCCACATCAGGTGTCGGATGCAACGAAGGGACTTCAGCTGTGGAACTTCTCAGCTGGCACGAATGAGACGTTGGTGAATTTCTTTGATGTGAGGCTGTGATACTCTCAGGAAAGGCGGGCATTCCTTCGCATCAATAAGACCCGTTGGCACGGGTTCCCAGCTGACATTATCTGCACGATGATTGACAGGCGTCTGTCGTGATGTCGCCCGTCCCGTGCTGCATAAGCCATCCGGGTGTTCTGCTATACTTTAAATAAACACCTATGACAATATTATTAAGACAAGGAGAGGTGCACTATGGTAAGGTAGTAATGCACATAAAAATGCTATTTTATGGCGGGCGACGATTGTTCCAGCTGCCGCTGTGTCAAGCCTGGTAAGAATTATGCTGTTTTATTGGCGCATGACCCAAAAGCCTTTGCTGTTCACATGCCCCCCCCCCCCCAAAGAAAAGAATCGGGAGTCTTTGAGCTTGTGGCGTGTATTCCGATTTTGTGCTATATCATCGCGGAACGGTCTGTTTAGTGATGGATAGCAACAGCAATTGACAAATCTGCGATTGATCAATGTTTGGCAAGACGACGTGTGGTTATTTTCAGACAGCAACAGTTTGTGCTCATGACCATGATCATGTGATAGGATGATGTGTGCTCTGGCACATCGTTTTTCGTTCGTTGTCCCTCCGTTCTGCAACGCTGTCGTAATGTGTTTGACTTCAAGAAGATCAAACGATGGCACGATGGATTACACCTTTTCAACGTGCGGTTATCAACGACCAATCACGGCACAAGCAGATACGTGCTCAACTGGGGCCTGGACATAAGTTCGCGTTGTATCAAAAATGTCTGAACAAGATTATCACATGCTGTGAACCGCGTAGATTACTGGATGCGTATTCACCCACGAAGCTTATTAATTTGCAATGGTTTCATTAGGAATGAGATTTGTTTATCAATCACTGTGTGTGACGACAAACAAGGTTATACCATTGCTTATATCCCCACCCTTTACCTTTCAGGCTGTCACTTGCTGGCGGACTATTTTGAAGGCATCAAGAAGGACTTCGAACGAGCCGCCAAGGTGTACAAAAGCACGTGCGACGACTATGGGCTGACAAAGAGCTGCCACAAATACGCGGGCTATGTGTTTCTGGGTAAGGGGTGTCGTCAGGACTCCGAGGAGGCTCTGCGATACTACACGCGCGGATGCGACGGCGGCGAGATGCAGTCCTGTCTGAACGCCGGACTCATGCACCTCTCCGGCGCCACCTCCAACGGCCAGCAGAAGAACCTGCCGCAGGCGATGCAGATGATCGAGAAGAGCTGCTCGGGTGACAACCCCACCGGCTGCTACTACCTCTCCGGCCTATACATCACAGGCGTCAAAGGCCACCACGAGAAGGACATGCAGGTGGCCTTCAAGCACGCGCTGAAGGCTTGCGAACTGGGCAACATGTATGCGTGCTCTAATGTTAGCCAGATGTACCGCAAGGGCGACGGTATCGACAAGGATGAAAAACTGGCGGCGGACTTCAGACATCGCGCCGCAGAAATGCAGGAGCAGGTGAAGAAAAACATGAACATCGGCTTCCAGCAAGGCGCCTCGCCCTCCTGATGAAACTGAATAGGTCACTCGATTGGCGCACATTGTGCCGGAGAAATAGTGTCACTGATAGATGTCACCATCTGGGGATAACCTCCCATGGGTCATAGGCTGTTCGATTGCGTGTAGTGGATGGAATGTCGGGTTGTGTTGCTGCTGATGTCCCCGCCCACAGCTCGCTGCTATTGACCTTTTCGTGTCGTCGTTTAACGGTGTCGGCATGAAGTCAGAAATCCTAAAATGATCTAGCATTTGTAGCGCAATTCTCAGGGAAATTTGTTTTTGCCTTCGGGTGGTTGTTTTTAAAGTTAGGCTCAGTTCTCGACTACCATCGTCAGTCACCCTGGGATCCAACTTAACAAACCGTTGCAGCAAATTATGTATCACGTGGATAGCTTGTAGAAGTTTATCTAAAGGTAACGTACGACCATTCAGTTGTGCCACCGGTTTTCTACGTATATTTTTGCAAACCGATGATATTTCGTCCACTTTTGCTTGAATGTTTTTCTATGGGCAGAACATTTACATTATCTTCTTCACTACTGACTTATCTTGCTCAGGAATGCTATTCAAACCTGCAAGAAGACATGGAGGCATTTTTTTTTTCTGCTGCGCAAACTGCCTACCATTTGTGCAATTCGAATTTCATGCGACGTTCAGTTCACAGCTGGATATTGATGAGTTTGCTGGGAGGATGGCAACACAGCACTGCGTCTAATGAATTATTCGTGAAGCGCGCTTGTGTGATTTGCATCAAACATGCCCTCACATCAGCGTAGAAAGACGTGTGCGATAGTAAAAGGTGAATGCTGCGATGTGGTGGGCCAAGTGGCGGCAGTCAGTTTTACGTCATTGTTATTTGCAGAAAAAATACAACTGCTGTTTCAGGCCGCCGGTATCCATAGCCTGTAACGGGAAAAAGCGGATAGCAGAATAGTAGCAAGGCGTTGAGCATCAAAACAAGCACCAGACTGAGCTGGTTGAAGTGCCGCCTCTCACTCTTCACCCATCATGTTGGCTGCCTCATTCATAATGTGAGCGTGCGTGGATCACCTAGTGCTGTTCCCGCCGCCGCCCTATTCAGCACATACCTCCTCATGCCGGGGCTGTGGCGGCCATGGCTATGAAAACCCCCGGCCTGTCGATTTGGCGGGCTACGTCCGCTGCGACAAACACCAATCACCAGCTGATTGTGAAGCCACTCGCACCCGGAGTCGGAGCGGGCTGATTGCGGCCAGGCTGATGAGAGGGGCACATCTGCTCCATGGTGGGAGGCTGTGAGCTGGGGCGTTCAGTGTTGACCTGCTCACTGCGGTGTGCCCGTGTTCAAGGCTCCCGTCGAACAATGTGACTTGCTACCTGTCGGCCTTGCCGTCGCATCCAAACAGATATGCTGGCGATGCGGTGGGCATGGAGGAAACCATGTTCGAGACAATCTTACTTTCGTTAGTTCGACGCGTCATTTCCCGATTTATATGGGGGATTTATTCCTCAGGGTAAATGCGTTATGTAATTTGACCTATAAGATGGGCCCTTGGCGTATGTCAGAATACGTATATATGCTCTGCCTTGCGGCGCACTTCAAGGGGTTGGACGTCGCAAATGTTTTAGAATCCTTTGTCTTCTAAAACACGCGAAAAAATTTGTGAACACAGGAAGCTGCTTTTAGCCTAAATAACGCCCAAACACCGCCATATTTCTCCCCCTGCGTGTTGTCCTTGACTCATGGCCGTAACGTTATTGTCCTCCGTCTCGGATGACGCCTTGCCCGCCGTTATCACCGCCCTGACAGTGGATTTTCTGAGAAGACGAAGGAGGGGAAAGCGCGGCGTCGTGTTATAAAACACAACGGGGTTCGTGTTGATGTTTCCAGAGGTGAGAAAGGCTGATTCATCTGGCTGCCAGTTTCCCCGGTTGGGATGTAAACGCTACGGTCGCGGCGTGCTCTCCTCCCATGTGACCCAAGCTAAGGTTGAGACTCCACAGAACTGCGGCAGCGTAAAGAGAAAAATACCGCGGAAAAGAAGCGCAAAACTATTCGGGGTGGCATTCAGCGATTTCCTTTGCATTTAACTCAAACAATGAATTTTACATTGATCGTAAGTGGCCGCCTTTCAGTCGAGCAATACTTTCAACTAGACATTTTAGCGCGGCCAGCTGCTGTCAGGCACGTAAAGAACGCGCGAAAAAGTAAAAGAAAGCGTGAAGTCATACGCCTTGTGTGGCGGGGCATGAGCGAGGCGAAAACGGATGTAAAAGCTGTCAGTTTTGATCGGCATGATACCGTATTCTAAACGAACATGGCCAGACACCTTAAGCGACTGATGCCAGTGGCATTGGCCGAAAAGTGTCCTCTACGCAAGCATAGAAACTTGAATGATTCCCTTAATGCGTTGGAAGATCGACTCTTCATGAAAACTGAATGTGCGAAGTTTTAGTGACGTAGCATTAAGCGCTTATTTACGGATATATTTGGAGAATATTAACCAAGGTACGCAGGGCTATTATCCACATAATGGTCTCATGGCTTAAGCCCTGGTACTTACGACTGCCGCGTCTTGCATCCGAGACGATTTTGGAGAAGGCGACCTTGCAACTTTCGAGTCGACTGCTGCCGCATGCACGGGTCAGATTGTTTTGAGATCTGCAAGTGGGTTGTATTCCGTATATTCGCGTGCTCCGTGCCGTGCAGTCGCTGTCACGTCTCCGTGTGGGCCTGTTGCGAAGATCTGAGATACCTTTGTAAACATTTTTATTATAATTATTTTATGACCTTCACGAGTGCTGCGCCCGTCCGCGCGACATCGACCCACGCGTTTGCCAATATGGTCCGCCAGAGTATGCCCGCCCCACACCTCCCCGACGCCGGGCCGTTGGGATCGTAACCCGTGTCTACCCTGGTATATAACCTTCTTGTAGCGTAAAAGATGGAGAGTTTTCTATATCAGATGAAACAGGAAGTTGAAATTGTGGTGTTCTTGCAATACTACATAAAAGCCGTGTAATCAAACGTTTTGTGTATCACTGTTTGGCAATGCATGTAGCACAACCTTCAAAGGATTGTGGCTCTTGCCGCTAGCGATTTCATTAATCTCGGATAAGTGATTGCAAATATTTACTTCTATAAAACGTGGCTTCCCTTAAGATTTGGCATCTGTTTATAGTTCATTTAAGACGCGTTTGCCATGCGGCCTCATTCTGTAACGAGATACGTCCTAGCGTTATAATTTTGTTTCTTAAAAAGTAACTAGTTTCTCGTATTAGGTGCTCTTTCGATGACTTAACCACATCAGCACCATGTGGTAACAAGAGTTAGAAATTATGCACCAGCGTGGATTGCCAACTTTCTGTCGCTCTAAGTGTCGTGATAAGCAGTGTTCTACCCGTTTTACTCTGCGTATAATACCAATTTTCAGATAGATAATGTGCCTTTGAGATACGTAATGTGGAATGAAAAGTAAAGGCTGTTACGTGGACGGGCATTACCGGATGCTGTGCGCCAAATAATCTTCTTCAAGGCTCGCAAGGGAAGTGGTAAGGGCAAAGGACATGGTTAAGGCCCAACACATCCGAAAATTCCTCAACGTATGTATTACCACATTTGCTTCGCAATGTCTTCACAGGGAGAAGAGCGCAGCTCGCCAGCATGCACAGCGACCAGTGTACTGCAATGTTGGTGCCGCCCTCGGCAGTTATGCCATCGCTGTCATGTCCGCGGTCTGACACTGGTGCTGGACACGATGTAGCTCGACATTCGGCAACAGCAGCTGTAGACAGAGCTGTGCCGCTTGACCAGCATCCCCGGTAGACGATTACTTTTTGGACTGAAACAGAACGTGGCCGTGGAGTAAGTGGCCGCTCTGGAGCACCACACAGTCTATGACCTGCTACACTTGTCCCGTAATGGAGATCATGCTTAGACTTGATACGCATTACAATGGGAATCGCACACTCAGGCGTGTATGCACAGTTTGATAAACCTTGCCGTTTGCGATAGCGTGCCAACATCCTGGGTGCTACCTTCGCCTTATTCAATCGCACATGCTTTAATATGGCAACCAGATCCCAACACCAAAACACGAACACCAAAACAAACCAACAAAAACACCAAAGGGCACGCAAGCATCCCTCACCCAGCTGTACCCACTGCATGGTTCAAAGCGCTACGGCTCCCCGAGGTCGAACGGCGACGGGGCGAGACTGCTCCGAAGGGAAGGCCTCACCTTGAACGGGTACACGAAGCTGGTGACCGTGCTCGAGGAGAAGTCGTTCGTGGCCTGTGCACTGGTACACGCCCATATCACTCCATTGCAGACTGTCGATGATCAAATGGCCTTTCTCCGTCACCTGACGGCACGGGGCGGGGCTTCGGCGCGCAGCAACACGACGGTGCGCTGCGCCGGGTTCGTGCTCGGCCGCCCTGGTTGGGTTGGGGCAGAAGCGTTCATCGACGTCCCGGGGCCGGGGCTTCGGCGCGCAGCAACACGACGGTGCGCTGCGCCAGGTTCGTGCTCGGCCGCCCGCTTTTGATTGGGTGGGGGCGGAAGCGTTCATCGACGCCCCGGCGTCGAAAACGACCGGCGCCAATCTTTGTCAAGAGAGAGCCCACGGCAAGGCTCTTAGTACGTCTTGGAAGACGGTTCTGTGGACAGGGCCGTTAGCTTTAAGCTGCATGCCGCGATTTCTGGGCGAGCGGCGCGGCCGACTAACCGTGACGCGTTCGTCTTCGTCCATGACGGGATGGAAGCTCCTGGTCCAGGTGATGACGGGGGCCGGAAAGCCGGTGGCGTCACACGGCAGACGTATCCTGCTGCCCATCCTGATAGGCAGCCGCGGGCGGTCAGGGCAGACGAGGCAGAGGGCGCTCAGTGCGGGACAATCGGCCGAACCTTTGCGTCGTTCCTTGGATTCATGGAATGCATGTCTACTACAGATGGACAAGTCTATACAATGTGTCTAAGCTATTGATGAATTTGCACATCATCCTAGAGCCGAGGTGGTGCATGCATTGCGATACGACGCAGCACATTTGACTAGCTCCATGAAATCGAACAGCTTTGTTCTCCTGGGATGTTTCATTATGCCAATGTGTTAAATAAACAAGCGTGTTTAATGTGGTATCCCTCTTTATCCTGCAATCCAAAACGCTCCGCAGAGAACGGCGCCGGCCGCATGGATGGCTTTGGCAGGAGCCTGTGACCGCGCCCACGCAGGGCGGCCCTCACTTGGCCAGAAGTCGGACGCGCCACTGGACGATCCGTGCCGGGCGGAACGATGCCTCCTTGGCTTGCTCACAGGCGAGCAGGTCGTCGGCGCTGGCCGGCCCTGCGAGACCGCGCCGGTCACACGGTCAGCGGACGGGCCGCCGCCTCACACCCACCCCGTTGGCTCTCTACCAGTGTTTCGCTGGCTAAACGAGCTGCGTTGTTTCCAGAGGTTTTGGTTTGAGATCGCGGATCAACGATGCCAATTGCGGCTTATCTCGTCAAGGAACGTAGCCGACGTATCACCATGTTTTTTAGTTATTTAGTGCTCGAATGCTGGAAATTTCAAGTCATACAAAATTGTTGAAATTGGTCAAGCTAGGTCATCTAGTCATCATGAGTTCAGAGTCCATGTTATGACAGTCATCAACCTGCAGTATACCAAATAGGACTAGCTACGGCGACATCAAGCAAACATGGGCTATACTGTCAATGCTAGACGCGTCAAGCCGTGCTCATGCTTTGTCGAAACGTCATGTAATGACGGCATAACCAACCCTTTCTTGATGATGCCGTTTGACCAGTACCTCCCAGTGTGGTGAAGGTCGATTCCTCTCGGTATAAAAACTCTTAACTTGTAGTGGCGAAAAACCATGAACTCAACGCGTTTCTTGCTTGTATCGAGGACATTTGGGGTAGACTTGCCTGTGATTTTCAGCTGTGTAGAAGAGGTCGCCAGCTCGCGGCCCGTGCTTCCTCTGCATGTGTACTGGCCCTAGAGAGCGGGGCATATACACACCACGTCATGTGACCACCTCCAACCATATGCTGTTGCATCCTGCACTAAAAAACAACAACTGAGTAACACTTCAACAGCTCAACAACTTCAACAATGCTTCGCCGTTGAATCCAACTAGCTGCACCCATGACCAGTGACGTCACTGACCTGGTCCCGAGGCGTGACGCAGTCCAGGTACAGGCGGGAGCGGGTGGCTGCGATTCCCCCATGCGAAAGCGTTTCCAGGCTGTTGGTTTCCTCTTCCAGATCGCCGATCAGGCCGGCCTGGGCGCAGCAGCCGATGTAAGCAGAATGCAGGTGGGTTTTGACACTTGGCGGCCTGTCGGCTAAGATTGATCCGTGTTGGAAGCGACGGACCACAAAATTCCAAAAGAGTTCGCGCTGGTTAGCGTTCATTGGCATAAATTTCGCTCAGGTGCTTAGATTTTCAACCATAAAGAACTGTTCAGGTACCTCAAAATTAATGCCAAGAATATCGTCATCTCTAACTAAAGGCAAAAATATTCAGTGGTGAAATACAAGCCCTGCTGGTAACGTAATGGAAATAAAATATGATGTCCTGTTCGGTTAATGCCAGTGGGAAATGATGAGAAAAAACATAACCCAAAACCTTGTTTTGTAATTGCGTCAGCCTGTCAATGCCTGACAAATGAGTCTAAAAATAGCTTCGACATACCCTGGCATATATTTCCTGTAAATCCCCCCCCCCCAAATGGTTTATGCATTTTGTTCAATCCTATAAGGCGTCACTTGAGATAGCTACAGCAAAAAAACGAGATCATACGGCTGTTGGACATGCAGGCACAAACGCCTCGTCCCCTTCGGCGGTGCGGCAGGTATGCGCGTACCGCTTGACGCAGCACGTAGTTGGGATATTTGGAAGCCATAACAAGAATGTGCTTCTTCCTCAAAGGGGCGTTGCTATGAGTTCATATCAAAAAGTTCAATAATTCAGAGATCTATCCAAATCGCCCAGGGCTTGAAGTGCGCGCAGCACGCCATGATATCGCACTAGGCGTTTGCACGAAATAATTGGAATCATATTTCAGTGTCAGCATAATGCAAGATTTCATGGGCTAGGGCATATTGCATTTGCATTTAATATTTCATTTTTATTCTCGTTATTTCTCTTGGATATTTATTGAAGTTGGCGGTTTCCTGAACGTTTGTCTTCGATGCAGTTGTGCCGCACGTGTACCTAATGTGATGGTCGGCTGCAATTCGGAATAATGGATCTGCTGATGTCACTGTAAAACGCGTGCCGTTACATGCATCTTGCACAGCTTATTCTTACCTGGTTTTCTCTGGCGGCGACCTCAGAGCTGTCATCGAACAAATGGCTTCGCCCAAGATTCGTTCAAGATTTAAGGCGCTTCTCATTGCAAGTGGTTGTCAGGTCATAGTGAATCAACTCATCCCAATCTAGCCTTTGAGCTGTGCCGTGATTCTTGCACGTGTGACCTACTGATGGTTCACTGCTGTCATGGACTGTGCGATCGTCGCTGGTGGAATACAGAGCTGGGACGATGTCTAAATAAGTCGTATCTCAGTCGCAGCTTGTCGAGCCCTGGCGTTCTGTACGCGCCTGCCCGCGTTTTCAATGTGTTTGCTTCGCATGGTGACGGGTCACTGTGCGTCAGCATGTGGTAATTGGCCGCCAGCGGGCTGCTCTCCACCCGAGTCAGAAGTGCGTTTTGTGCACGTTGACGATGCTACGCGGGCTTGTCAACGCTAATAACCACTCGGCTCTTTGGCCTCGAGATGCGGGCGAAATGCACAGGCTGGCTGGACTAATTCTGCCCTGAACGCTTCAGCACACCACGGAGAACAATGCTACCGTCTTTTCCGCCTATGGACGACTCTTCACTCGTCTTCTTTTTCCGTTCTGGGCCCTCAGCCCTGTTAGCACTGCCACGGTGTCAGGCTGCCACCAGCGCAACCGGTCTATTTACCTCCGGCTGTACTGTCAACAACTCCTCGGCTAAAAGGAGAAGCTGTAATTGTCCCGGCCAGATTAAGTCAAGAGGTGCCCTCAGGCCTCAGTTATAGCAATCAGCAAACGTCCGGCGTTACATTGCAAAATACGCACTCTGCCCCTGAGATAATGAAATTATGACTAACTGGCAGCAGTATTTAGGCCTCCCATGCTATCGCAGCCGAGACAGGCTGCCAGTATTACTCCAGCAGTCATATGCGCGCCACAATAATCGGAAGCCTGTTATTAACGTATTATTATTACTTCAAAGGCAGAGGTAGCGGTGAGGCGGTGCGGTACAGGGCGCCTGGGAGGCAGTGGTACAGCTCTGACCTTATGTTCGGCTTCTCAGAGACATTGGTGGCGGTCTGATCGGCTGTGCAGCTCGACGCCTCAGAGGTAGTGATGGAGGTGTTCGTGTGTGGTGCAGGCCGACGCCGCAGAGGCAGTGATGGAGGTGTTTGCGTGCGGTCCAGGTCGACGTCTCGGAGGCAGTGATAAAGGTGTTTGTGTGCGGTGCAGGTCGATGCCTCGGATGCAGTGATGGAGGTGTTTGTGTGCGGTGCGGTTCGACGCCTCGGAAGCAGCGATGGAGGTGTTTGTGTGCGATACAGGTCGACGCCTCAGAGACAGTGATGGAGGTGTTTGTGTGCGGTGCAGGTCGACGCCTCGGAAGCAGCGATGGAGGTGTTTGTGTGCGGTACAGGTCGACGCCTCAGAGGCAGTGATGGAGGTGTTTGTGTGCGGTGCAGGTCGACGCCCCAGAGGCAGTGATGGAGGTGTTTGCGTGCGGGGCAGGTCGCGCAAGAGTCCGTGCTGGACGTCTGACCTTGTGGTGCAGGCTGCCGCCTCGGAGCCAGTCGATGGTCGGCGGGGGAGAGCCGAGGAACTCGCATTCGAGCTGCAGGCTGCTGTACAGTCGGACGCCGCGCGTCGCCGGCGGCGCTTCGCCGCTCAGCAGAAACTGTCCTGCGTGCGGCGACAAGGCGTCAGACGAGCCCAGGGCGGCGCAGCTCCGGCTGACCTACGCCCGCTCGCTGGCAGCCACTCCTGAAACTGGCTGCTTGATTGGTGTCGGCGATAGCGTCTCATGGAGAAAATACGCGTGCGTATAGCACTAAATGTGAGCTACTCCGAGCTCGGCTCGGCTGCGAGCGACCGCAAGCTTCATCACGCCGTGAGCCGCGCCAGCTCGCGCCGGCCGCGAGGGGCAGGGAGCGCAAATTGCCTCCTGGCGGGATGGCGCGGTATGACGGCAGTAACGACAGGGTTATGGTGGACTGTAGACTCTGTACACCGCTGACCTATCAGTGGACCGCTGATGGGCAGTAACGCATTGGATGGACACGGACAGTGTTGCCACAGTACCGCAGTGCACATTACAGCGGCCACTCGACACACCAAGCAGAAATTATGCTTCGCTACTGGGAAATTTATCGGAAGGTTAAGTGTTTGCCTTTGAAGTAGTACGGCAATTGTCTGACGATGATAGATGTGTTAAGTAGATGGCCCTGGATCATTGCTTCAATTTTTGGTTGTTTCATTTTCATCTTACAGTCGGACGCCGTGAAATGACGTGAAATCGTAAAATCTTAGACATGAAATCTTTGTGGTTGATGCCTAGCCCTGCTGGTGCGTGGCCTAGATGAAAGTGGTTGTTCATTTTTTGCTGCACTTACTGGACTTCGTAGACCTGGTGTGTCGGTTCATTGGCTCGCTAAGCTGTTTGGTTCCGACCTGTGACACAAGTGCGCGCTCAAGTCAAGGAAAAGAACAATACGGAAAAATTCTAAGCATTCCAGAAAGTGCCTCAAGTGATGATGGTTTGGATGTCGATACCGTGCCAACTTTTTAAAGGCGTGCATACACTCATGTGACAACTAGCAAATATATGAACTTTTTACCATTCACGGAAACCCGAACAAGCATCTCGACATTTTTGGCATGTCTGACAATGGCGGAACAAAGACGGCCGCACGGCCTGAGAGGTTTGACATGCACGGCGTCAACAGCAGCGCCGCGGATCGTGTGACGTCAGCACCGCAGCACTGACGTGCCGTCAAGGCCTCGGCAGCAGCGCCGCGGATCGTGTGACGTCAGCACCGCAGCACTGACGTGCCGTCAAGGCCTCGGCAGCAGCGCCGCGGATCGTGTGACGTCAGCACCGCAGCACTGACAGGCTGCCGGGGCGTCAGCAGCAGCGCCGTGGGCCGTGTGACGTCAGCACCGCGGCACTGACGTGCCGTCAAGGCCTCGGCAGCAGCGCCGCGGGTCGTGTGACGTCAGCACCGCAGCACTGACGTGCCGTCAAGGCCTCGGCAGCAGCGCCGTGGGCCGTGTGACGTCAGCACCGCGGCAATGATAGACCACTGCGGCCTCAGCACGTCAGCGGCGTGCCGACAGTCCGTCCAGGCCGCCGGGGACGTGCGCGTGCGGTGCTCACCGCCGGCAGCGAGACGGGCAGGGCTCGCTGCTGCGCGGCGCCCGCCGACAGCGAGCACGCCAGGCAGGCCAGCAGGCCGGCCCCCGTCCATAGAGCGCGTCGCATCCTGAAACGCGACCACGTTAGCCGCTGACGTCGAGTTGCTGTGCACGTTGATTATCTCGGCTGATACCATTTACGACCGTCTGGCCTGCAACACTAGCGACAGGCGCTACCTAAATTACTTGAACGTTTTTACAGACACAGGCAGGTTATTCTTCGCCGTTGTGTCAAATGTATGCGTATCGTCCGATTTAGGACTGTGGGTATGCCACGCGTTATTTCCACCACGTCACAAAAAACGAAGTGGTAGTCGCGTGTCACGTCTTTTCAGATGATCCGCTGCCACCGATATAAAAATGTTATTGGCCAGCGCTGTTTTGACGTTGATTTTACTTTTTAAGCAATATCAACGCATGGCAATCACCTCGAATGTGTGACATTTCAGGAATAATACTTTTATCCATTCATAAATCACTTCATGTACTTAAAAAACGCTGTATAAAACACAATAACTTGCATAGTTCCCAGAAAATGCATTGCACAGCAAAGTAAAGCGCCATTTTCCACCTCTTTGCAGTGCAGACACTCGAAAACATGGTCATAGTTCAGTGATCCGAAAAAAATATTGCACTGAGATTCCCGGATCCGATGAAGAAATACGTTCAATTTAAGATGCTCCAGCACGATTCAGAAGCCGCCTCTTGTGCCAGAAGATGTCACCGAGAACGGGGGAGCACTTACACTGATATTAGGGATGATTGCCAAAAAGATCGCGACAGTTAAGATGCAAAATACTTCAGTTTTCATCAGGTATTGCCTGTTTTTATCGTTGGTTATTGATGATGTAGGCAGTTTGCCGCCGATGGCTGTTTCATCAGTTTTTTTAAAGCAGGTTTCGGAGTCTATCAAAAATGCTTCTTAATGTCCCAATATTTTCTCTGTCCAGGTTGCTGCTACAGCTATCGCACACCGACACGCTCTGCTTCAGCTTTCACACAGCGACACATTCTGATTCAGTTATCACACGTCGACACGTCCTGTTTCAGCCATCAGACACCGGCACATTCTGCTTCAGATATGACACACCGAGACGCTCTGTTTCAGTTGTGATCAATTTTACTCATAGTGATGTAGAGTATGATATAGGCTGAAATATAGAACTTTGTATGTGTTGCAAAGAACAGTATGGGACACCTCCAAACCATTATAGTAGGACAGCATGCCATTCAGCGTTTCACTTCGGCAGGTCAAGCAGCGGGTATTTTTGCGATGTCGGGTTTTATGTTCTTTGGATGTTTTCGCCGATTTTCCCAACCTTGGAGAGAAACGGCACACCATCGAACGCATGTTCGAGACAAGGACATAATAGTGCCGCTCTACAACAATGGTTTCCATGATTTGTTTGGCACTCTTATCCCTCGTGTCGAAAACGTAAGAAAAAGTGGTCACGTTATTTTTTACCTGATTTCCATCTATGCCATGCCTTTCCCGGGATTGTTTCCAGATATGCTAAAGCCATTGGAGGACAGCAACCGTCGGCGTTCAGACAATTGTATGCGTCCGATGTGCCACTTAAGATTGGTGGCAAGAAAGATAGAACAAAGAAAGTTGAAAGGAAATAACGAAAGTCCACCTCACAGGCAGCTGCTGCGTGCCACGCTCGATATCTATCAGCAGCAACAGCTCCATTCAAAACACACTCGGAACTGCGATGTCTTGGATCGTCGGCACCAGTGTTTACACCAGAGTTCGTTTAAGACGCTTAGTAAAACCTATTCACACCTGGCGCTGACAGAGAGACTGTGTCGACGGAAGCCGTGGTGGCGGGTGGCTCTGCGATATCCAGTGATAATGACATCAGCGGCATGACACGGCAACGATAAAAGACACATCACCATAATGAACACGCTCTAAGCCTTTCATGAGGTTTCGTCCTGATTCCGTCGCTCTTTAAACTGTCCACGCAATTGGCATAACCTTAACCGTTTTGCTCACTGTATACTGATCTATCAGGGAGTCTATCCAGACAAGTAACTAATTTCCACCTTCATTTCAGTCGGCGCTCGACAATTTTTTACACTCATGCGAGGTTACCCACGGCCTACGCTCTCTGCAAAAGGTCAAAAATGGTTACGTTTACATCACTGTCATGGCTCCTTCATTGGTTATAAGCTATGCTTCCCATTGTCTCTGTTTGTGCCTCTCCTGACAGGAATGAAGCCTTTGTAGCGAAACTATCTTGTTGGTACAGCATACCGATACACATTTGGCATAACTGGCCAAGTATTCAACGCTTTGCCTCACTAAGTAGCCTCGTTTCGGCATACTAAACGGCGCTGATTCGCTGCGCTTAAAGTTTTCATACACCACTTCCCCTAGCAGACAAGTCACATGCGATCCTGATACCTGCCTCCTCCCCCTACCACTGGTTGGTTAATTGAACCGATACGTCTTACGCGCGCTTTCGTCAGCAGAGGTACGCTTGGTAGCGCTCGGAATATATCCTATTGATAAAGGCTGCGCTTGGCGGTGGTACTTCAGTCTTGCGGGACGTAGTTTTTTGCTTTGCGACGAATCTGACATTATTTCTTTGGACTTGTTTACTTTGTGACTAACGATGCACCTAAAATCCCAACGACCAGACATTAACTTACAAATATTGCTTTTTTCAGCAACAAAAAATTGTCGCCAGTGCATCATCAGTTAGCCAATTTTTCCGGTGCCGTCATTGATAGCTTTTTTCGATCTTAGCAAAAATGCGTCGAGAGCTCAATGAGAGAGATACGATTTTCAAGCCCCAGAGCATTCTCTACCCCACCAACAGCACTTCTCGCTCATCTTTTGCCTGACTAAGACGTGACCGCAGCGTGTATGCCGCGCACCACAGCCACATAACCGGTGCCATGATGACCTGCACCGCTGTGACCTGACGCCGGGGTCGTACTCACCTTCGGTGCAGGGTGCTGCAGTCAGGGCCGGGCAGCTGGAGTCGGGCGGACGGGCAGCCGCGGTCAGATACTGGTCGGCAGCCGACACGTGATATATAGGAGCAGCGACGGTCCGGGCGCGCACGCGTCGCTCGGACCGCGTCCGTCCGGCACCGACAGCGGCTGGCCTGTTCACGGACGGGTTGCTATAGCAACAGCGCTTTGAGCATACGCATAGATCTGACGGAAAAACAAATGCGCCACGTAATGAAATTTAAGCGCTATCGAGCCGGAACGCGAAGATATTCTCTGCGTAAACATCGTCGTTTTATCGTAGCCCTCCCGCTAACATGCCAGCGCTACAGCCATGTGGGCAAGAGGAGCGGTAAGTGAGAAGCAAGGCGTGGAACAGCTGCCGCCATCTGAAGAAACTGGAGGGTAAGCATGCTGTTTCCCCGAACACTTGAGGCTCCCCGAGCTCGCGGAGGGCTTCCTAAAAAGCAAACATTAACTGCAACCAGCCCGTTATTAACACAATCTCCTCATGCATCTAGCTTTACCTAAATACCTGGTGTGGGTAAAAGGTCACCACTGTTCGTATCAGGTTAGTGACATTATTTGGTGACATTACATTGGACACAGACAAGCAAAACGGTGACATTAAATTGGAACTTATATTCGGCGTCAATAACTACTCTAGGCAGTCCATGTTCCTCAAAGGGGAATAATAAGTGACATCATTTTAGGTCAGCGGCCTCCCCTGTTCTTCATGAGGTCAAAATGAGGAACCTGCTGACATTGCTGCTATCAAGACGGTTGAAATCAACGTCAAACATCCCCATAAAACATGCTTGCCGCTAAAAAGCAGCTAGGTATTTACATTGACCTGATCTTCATTCCCAACCTATGGGCAGTGTAATAAGTCGCAATCCTAACTCCAATTATATACGCCAGCAACCTGGTATGTATGCAAGTCTACTTTTACCAAAAAATCGACAATTCATTTGCCTACCGTAACTTGAGCGCGGCTTCACCGCACCGTCTCGGGAGTTATTTCGAAAACCTAAGGATCGGGAGGGAATCTAATTAACCTTTCGTCCCGGCCGTGTGCTCATAGCATATTAGACAATTGCGATACGAAATGCAATATAACACTGGCAGCAGAACAGCATCTGAAATAATCCTATGTTGGCGTGGAAAAATGGGATCAATTTGACCTCTACGGTTTTCCCAACTAATGCGTTCCGAACAGTGCACGTAACGACGTTCAACGTCACTGACCGGCAGCTAGTCAAGGTCAGGCCATGGCAATCAGGTAGTGCAGTTCTTGGGCGGCTTTCAAGCCAATGGGTCAACAGAGATTTAGAAAAGGTCGTACTACTTTTAGGTGGTTTCATGGACAATTATAAAATTGAAGGCATAGCCATAACCAGCTCCATATTGTAAACATGTACATATATATATATATATATATATATATATATATATATTCCATATGAAATATAGAAAGGGGGACAAGCTGACCCCCACCCCGACCCGAACGCGTCGTATTTAACCGTCTAAACGGGTACATGACGACTGGACATTAATATTGGTGCAACTCTCAGTGCTCTAGCATAGATCGCTTTATTCATCCTGCATGCTTTCTAACCCAGAAATCCGAATCAGAGATATGTCCTGGATAGGTGTAGGAGCACGATGCAGCCTTGACATCCGTGTAGAGGCCTAACGGCATCTAGACGTCGGCCGCTTTGGCGGCTGAGTGGTCTATAGCGTGACATTATCAAAGCCTAAGCACGTCCGCACGTGGTGTGGCGTGGTAAGCACGTCCGCACGTCCGCACGTCGCACTCTCGGCAATATAGGGATAATTACACGCCTGCCCACGTAAATCATCCTGCATGTGTTGTTCCGTACACGTTAATTATACAGCTTGTCTCGTTTCGTCAGATGTTGCGGCGGTCGGCCGCCGGCGGTGGCGCCTGCGGCTGGATGCGGCATGCGGGGACAGGTCGTGCTGACCCATCGATCCCCCAGGATCTCC